TCAGGAGTCTGAGATGGGAGAATTACTTGAGCCCAGGAGTTGCAGAACAGCCTACACAACATAGCAAAACCTTGTCTCTACAAAAAAATTTAAAAATTAACTGGGCATGGTGGTGCATTCCTGTAGTCCCAGCTACTTGGGAGGCTGAGGCGGAAGGATCGCCTGAGCCCAGGAGGTTGAGGCTGCAGTGAGCCGTGATCCTGCCACTGCACTCCAGCCTGAGCAACAGAATGTGACCCCAACTTAAAAAAAAATAGCTGTGTGACTTGCTTCTCTATTGAGTAAAGTGTCCCTGACCCTGGCCAAATGCTTGCTCAGTTCTCATCCCAAATGGCCTTCCATTTGGGTACTGGTGAGGTATAGCAGCTCCTTAGTGGGAAGCTCTTTCCTGAGGTTAACGGGGAAGATTGGGGAGGGGTGATCCTGACAGTTCCCAGTTGATAGCTAGAGTCCCTAAGGGATAGACTTGGAGGCATGACGAGAGAAGATCAAGAGCAGAGGGCCCCTTCCTGAATCTAGAGTCCATAAGATTATTTCATTTCCAGAGACTATCCTCCTCCTCCACAGTCACCTCACGCGGCCCAACACCGGGAAATCCAGAGCTCAGATCCCCGTGGTCACAGAGAACATGCGGCCCTCATGTGGCCCGGATAAGCTGCAGGCAGTTGGGGTTATCATTGGTCGGCAGAGGCCTCAAGGCCGGGCGCCACCATTGAAAGAAACACTCCAGGCGCTCTCTCTCAGAGAGTAAGACTAGGAGCAGTAGAGGAGCAAACTGGGTCGGCCTCCTGGAAATAGCGAAAGAGAGGAAGGGGGAGGGGTAGAGGGAGCCTGAGACAGGAGGCGAGCGGGCACACAGGGAGAGGTTCGCCCAAACCGAGGGAGCGCCCTTTGGCATGGGACGGGAGGGCCCTGGCGCCCCCTGGTGGTCTCACTGCGCGGCGACGCGGCTCTCTGCGTTGCTGTCGCGGGGTCCAGTGACTTCAACCCTCTCTTGGCGATGCCATGCCGCTGAATGCCCTGAATCGAAGGTCACGCACTCCATCGTCGTCCTCTCCCCCTGGGCCGCCCCCTCAGACTCGCGTGACTGTCACCCCTACCCGCCTGCCTGGCCCTACTTAATATGCAGCCCGCGGGCCTCGAGGGTCCCCACGCGCTTGGCCTGCGGCCTCTGCAGCGTCTGTTGCTCCTGCTGCTGCTGCTCCAGCCTGTAACCCGCGCCCAGATCACGCTGGGCACTCCCAGCGCCCAGGGCCTGCGAGAGCGTGCACGGGCCCTGATGCGGGACTTCCCGCTTGTGGACGGGTGCGTATAGTTGTGGCATGGGGGTTTGGGGGGCTGAGCGCACCTGTGGGCGGGGGAGGGCACCTAGAGTGTACAGGTGCTAGCAAGGAGGCTTCCTTATACCACCCCTGAATCCCCTCTCTCCCACCATTCATGGGTACCCTTTCCCCTCTTCTATCACCACTACTCTGATGGGAATCCCCCTAGCTCAAGCCTCAAGGGATCTCAGTATAGTCTGACAGCGTGATAGTATGGGGTGGGAATCCCTGGACATATCCCAGACCCATTTGTCATTAACCTGACCTTGCCTTGTCATCCCTCTAGCCACAACGATCTGCCTCTGGTCCTGAGGCGGTTTTACCAAAATGGGCTCCAGGATGTTAACCTGCACAATTTCAGTCATGGCCATACCAGCCTGGACAGGCTTCGAGATGGCCTCGTGGGTGCCCAGGTACCACAGGGACACACATGGTGCCACAGCATGGCTGCTAGGGATTGCTGGGGAGAGTGGGAGTTCCAGAGATCCAGAGTTAGTCAGTTATCATAGTGACCCAAAAAGTGCCATGATTTGGATGCTGGGGGCTGCAGGGGTGCAGAGAGCCAGCATGGTGGGCATAAAGGTACCATGGAACAAGCATGTTGTTACATGTGACCTCTGGGCCCACTGGGTGTTGTGAAGCCCAGAAAGCAGCCATTGCCCACCCCAACCCCTGGCCTTCCTCCCAGTTCTGGTCAGCCTACGTTCCATGTCAGACCCAGAACCGAGATGCCGTGCGCCTCACCCTGGAGCAGATTGACCTCATCCACCGCATGTGTGCCTCCTATTCTGAGCTGGAGCTTGTGACCTCGGTTCAAGGTAGTTGGGTGGATAGAGAGTGTTAGGAACTCGACTGAGCTACTCCAGTCCCAGAAATTAATCACCTGACCTTCCTGTCCCCAGCTCTGAACAACACCAGGAAATTGGCCTGCCTCATTGGTGTGGAGGGTGGTCACTCACTGGACAGTAGCCTCTCTATCTTGCGTACCTTCTATTTGCTGGGAGTGCGCTACCTGACACTCACCCACACCTGCAACACACCTTGGTGAGCACGATGCAGATGGTGTGGGCCCGCTGAGGCAGGGATCTGCCCAGGTCACACTGTGGGCCTAGACCAAGCTTTGCCCCTGAGAGCTGGCACTGACCTTGAAGTGGGGAGGGGAACTGGGATTCTGAGGTTTTCAGAACAAGACTGGATCCCAGCAAGAGCTTCCTGCTGCCAGGTAGAGCCCATGCTGGGTCTCCACTTTTGCTCCAGGAAGTTGCAGGGATAAAGGATAGGTAGGGCCTTTAGGCTCTTGTGACCAAGGCATAGCCACCGGTCAGACTGCTTCCTGGTCATCCTGCAGGGCAGAGAGCTCGGCTAAAGGCATTCACCCCTTCTACAATAATGTCAGTGGTCTGACCAGCTTTGGTGAGGTAAGTTCCCTGGTTCATGCTCCATCCCACACAAATGTACACAACCCAACTATTTCTTACAGATAAATGTGCACACATGTGCACCCTTGGTACTCCTCTCCCAACCTGTCCCTGTAGAAGGTGGTGGCAGAAATGAACCGCCTAGGCATGATGGTAGATTTGTCCCATGTCTCGGACACTGTGGCACGGCGGGCCCTGGAAGTGTCTCAGGCACCTGTGATCTTCTCCCACTCGGCTGCCCGGGGTGTGTGCAACAATGCTCGGAATGTTCCTGATGATATCCTGCAGCTTCTGGTGAGAAACTTCCTGGCCCCAAAACCCAAAGCAAGAGGTTCAAACCAGGAGCCCTTGAACCTAAGTCCCTGTTCCCTCAACTTTCTCAAACCCCAGACTGAATATATCCTGCCCACAAACCCACAGTCCATAACCTCTGAACTCTTCAATCCAGGACTAAAGGGTTCTAGATGGTAAATATTCCTCTACCCCCCAAATCAAATGCCAAGACACCTCTACCCAAACCAGGGCCTATACTCCTCTATTCATACAAACCCAAAGGGTGAAGTCTCCTCTGACCCAGAAACCAGTGCTCCAGGGGCCTGAGGGTGAGCAGGCACGTGGTTTGTGGGGGGACCAAGTTGAGAGTTCATTTGACCACCCCTGCAGAAGAAGAATGATGGTGTCGTGATGGTGTCCTTGTCTGTGGGGGTGCTGCAGTGCAACCAGTTAGCCAATGTGTCCACTGTGGCAGGTAAGTGCCATCCCCCCCGGCTCTCTGAACAGCTCTGGTTTGAATCTGATGCTTTAGAAGGGCCTCAGGACTGTCTCAGTGGTTTCACTAAACATCAGTGATGGACAGTACATATTCCCTTGGCACTACACGGAAATAGAGCCATAGAGTCAATACTGCAATCTAGATGGGTCCAAGGAGTCAGACATAGAGCCTGGGTGCCGACCATCTGTGACTCTGCAGGGGGCTACCAAAGCACCCTGCCCCTGCCTCTGGCAGCTCTTCAGGTCTCTGGGGTCTTTGTCAGTTTTACTCTTTGTCCTTCTCTCACCTCCCTCACTTATAGAAAGGAGACCCTACTGACTTCTCAAGGAGACTAGAAGTAGGGGGGTCCTGGATGGGAAATGATCCAGATGGGTGGTTCTGGGGATCCACTCCAAATCTGAAGCCCAGTCCAGAGCCAGATGAATCAGTTCAGGTCAAATCTCAGGACCCTCAATTGCTGCACTGGGTGCCAGGCCATGAAGGGATGAACCCGCATGGCCTACGGGATGCGAGAAGGGGACTCCAGCAGAGGCTAGCCCCTGCCCAGGAAGCCTCACACAGCTGACTCTCATCCCTCCAGATCACTTCGATCACATCAAGGCAGTCATTGGATCCAAGTTCATTGGGATTGGCGGCGATTATGATGGTACCAACCAGTGAGTGCTTCCCTGTGGCTTGTCTGGGGCTGGCTGTACAGCAGGGGGGCTTCACAGTCTCCATGCCCACCATGTCCCTTAAGCCTGGGCCACCTGGCATCTCCCCACTCCCGGGATCAGTTTCCTGGGTTCTCCTATCTGTTCCCATCTCAATGTACCCACACTAGGGCATCATATCTGACCAAGCCACCAGACAGGCTCATCTGTCCAGCATGTGCACCCACCCCCAACCCCACCACACCCACTCTCTCTGAACAGACTGTCAGCAGGTCTGGTGTGGGGTGATCATCTTCTCTGCCCACAGCTGGGGCTGTGCTTGCAGGGGATCAGCCCAGTTCTGAAGAAGCTTTTGCTTTTTAAAAGGGGGAGAGGAGAACATTTGTATTCAGTAAAAGGCATAGATCTTAATAGTACAATTCAATAAGTCTTGACAAATTTTTAAGGAGGTTTTGAGGCCTCCTCCTGGAGGATAAAGAACAAAGTCAGATCACTTACTGTCTCCAAGCCTCCATCTCCCATATCTGACCAGGGCTGGGTTTCTGTGGACCCTGGACTGTGGTTCTGAGGCAGAATCAGGGAGCCAGGTCTGAGGCCTATTGGCTTGGTGGCCACACAGGTTTCCTCAGGGGCTGGAGGACGTGTCCACATATCCAGTACTGATAGGGGAGTTGCTGAGTCGTGGCTGGAGTGAGGAGGAGCTTCAAGGTGTCCTTCGAGGAAACCTGCTGCGGGTCTTCAGACAAGTGGAACAGGTACAATGTGCTGGACAAAGAGTAGCCTAGGGGTCTGAGCAAGCGTGTTGGGGAGAGCTGTGAGAGCTGACCACCAACTGCTGCCTCTAGGTACGAGAAGAAAACAAGTGGCAAAGCCCCCTGGAGGACAGGATCCTGGATAAACAGCTGAACAGCTCTTGCCGCTCTGTCCTTTCACATCTAAGTCAGAGACAGTATCTGACATCAGACCACAAATTAACCGAGATTCCAACACACTGGACACCCAAGTTATCAACCAAGTGGCCACTCTCAAAATCTTCTCCTTATGTGGTCCCAGGTCTCGCAGTTGTTGCTGTCTTCCCAGTCCTTACTCTGTGGCTCTGGTGACCCAGTTAGTCCTGCTAGATGTCACCATGGCAGTCACAGATGCCCCACAAAATTTCCTCATTGTGCAGGTGCAAATATTTTCTGAAAATAAATGTTTTGGATGTGGAACCAGATGTGAGTGTCCTCCTCCTTGGTGGGATCTGGTGGTGCAGGTTCCGTGCTGGTGGTTGTTAGGGGACCCAACATTTCAGTCACCAGGTACTCAAGAAAGGCCTGTTGGCAATGGCCTGAGGCAACCCAGGCCTTTGGGCTCAGCACTGAATGAAGACAGTGGATCTACCTGCAGGAGGAAGGATCTTATTCTATGTTCTCTCTGAGTAGCTCATCTCAATCCACATGCTGACCCACTGACCACCACCTGGGGATCTTTCAGGGAATTCAGGTTCATATTCCCAAGGAGAAAACCTTCTTGGATCACAAATGACATTCACTGATCTTTAGAAAGAGCCCAGAATACCAGGCCACATAATAGGCCATGGGCCTCCAATGGCTGGACTGCCCTGCTTGTGGGAATCCCTTCATCCCGCAGGGACTTCCTCTCCAAGAGGCACGAACTACTTAGGCATCCACCCCATCTTACTCCCAGGCCATTAATGGTAACTAATACCAACTGCCATAATAATAGCTAATATTAAGAGCAAATACTAATAATGACAACTAATAATAAATAATCCTTTCTCCTTAGTACCACAACATCCTTTGAGGAAGAAAGAATCCAAAGGTGCTAGGCATGGTGGCTCATGGCTGTAATCCCAGCACTTTGGGAGGCAGAGGTGAGAGGACTGCCTAAGTCCAGGGGTCTGAGACCAACAACTTGGTGAGACCTCATTTCTAAAAAGAAAAAAGATAAAGAAAAAGAAAGAGCCCAAAGGCGGGGCTCATCTCTTTGGACCTTCACTCTCCCTGGATCCTTACTGTGTAATTTTTCAATATCTTGTTAACTCTCTGATGCCTCCAAGAAGATTTTTTTCTATTTTCCCAACTTTTTTTTGTCTGAGTCTCATTCTGTCACCCAGACTGGAGTGCAGTAGCATGCTCACAGCTATCGCAGCCTCGACCTGCCAGGTTCAGGTGATCCTTCCACCTCAGCCTTCCAAGTAGCTGGGACTACAGGTGTGCACCACCGTGCCTAGCTAATTTTTTAATTTATTGTAGAAATGAGGTCTCGCCAAGTTGCCCAGGCTGGTCTTGAACTCCTGAGCTCAGGCAATCCTCTTACCTCAGCCTCCCAAAGTACTGGGATTATAGTCATGAGCCACCATGCCTGGCCTTGCCCAATTTTTTAAGGTATCAGGAGTAGTGTAACTTTTTATTCACCTAGCCAACCATAACCAGACACTTTAAACTGTGTTTATGTATTAATTTGTTTTTTGTTTTTTGGGGGTTTTTTGAGTTGGAGTCTCACTCTGTTGCCCAGACTGGAGTGCAGTGGCCGCTTCCGGCCACCGCAGCCTCGACCTGCTGGGCTCTGGTGATCCTTCCGCCTCAGCCTTCCAAGTAGCTGGAATTACAGGCACGCACCACCAAGCCCGGCTAGTTTTTTATTTATTGTAGAGATAAGGTCTCGCCAAGTTGCCCAGGCGGGTCACGAACCCACGGGCTCAGGCAATCCACTCACCTCAGCTTCCCAAAGCGCGGGATTACAGGCTGAGCCACCGAGTCCGGTTATATTAATTTGTTAACGTTTTAAAAATTGTAAATATTATGCCCTCTTCTTTCAACTAAGTCTAATATAGGAAACAGCTATATGTGCAAAGCTTCTGCACTTTTGTTAAACTATTAGCAAAGTTGCCATTCATTATGTTGTTCAAAATCATTTAAATGAAAACCTCCAATGCAGGTTCACTGAGGTTTATGAGAGACCAGAATAAGCACTATCTTTTTCTGCCCTTTCTGAGAGAACCAAAGCTAGAAGCAGCTGGGTCAAACTAGGTCACTACCTCCCAAGCATGAGAAGGAGGGGGTAGCGATGATTAGGGGGCAATTGCGGCTAGCAGCCAAGGTCCTTCTTGAGGTGTCCAGAGGGGAGGCCACTTCCAGGGAGTCCAGGTGGGAGAACCAGAAACAGACACAGATGCAGAAGGGGAGACAATCTAGTTTCAGTATGTGTTATTGACCCTTCTCAGTAGAACCTGGTCCAGGCCCAGGAGGCTCAGATGCTACCCAGATGTGGTTTTGAGACACATTTCCCTAGCACCAGAGTTTTTCAGCAGGAAATGATGAATTATACTCTCCAGACCTCTGGTCAGCCTGGAAACTACCGTGTCTTGAAGGATGATTTCTGGCCCAGATGAAATCATATGTCAGACCAAGCCTCCTCATGCTTTCAGGACCAAGAGCCCTAACCTGACCTTGTCCTACGACTTCATGCCCTCGGAGTATGTATCTTCCCCACAACAGCTGTAATGCCCAAACCGGACCTTCACCTGGGCTGGTGGCCAATCTGGGATGGCCTCACCACTCATCTGAATGACCTAGACCCCATCCTTTCTGTCACCGCAGTATGACCTCAATTATTCTAAAAAGCCCCAGAACCTGTGAAATTAACTTGTGCTTGCAGCTATGCTGGCTTACAGAGTTGAAGGTTGGAAGCCAGTAACCACAAACCAGCCGCTAGATGAATTGAGCTTAGAAGTGCTGCCATGACCTGAATTCCTGCTTCATTACCATACTAAAATTTCTATGCAGGGGTAAAAAATGTACCTTACTAGGCACAAAAAGTACTGGGTGCAAAAAAAAAAACAAAAAAAAAAAACCAGACAAAACTGCACAAACTCCAGTCCCTCCAAGCCCCTCCTGAAAGAACTCACCTTTTTCCTTGCCCCAGTCTCCACCTACTTTCCCTAATTAATAGCCCTTAAAATCTCCCTTTACCTTACCCTCAAGAGAAGGTGCTGTGAGCACTACCAATTCCTTTTCTCCATTCCTTGATCAACGAATAAAGTTTCTGCTCTGCTTTGCCAAACCTGGTTTGGTTCTATTGGTATGAACCAC